GAGCCGCCGTCGCTCTTGTTCCAAGCTGCCGCGCGGCGGCGGCCGCGACGGTGCCTTCTGGGGTGTTGGGGAGTGAGGGGAGAGCGCGAGAGGACGAGGGTCACGAGATAGTTCGAGGATCGAGAGAAGAGGAGAAGAAGAAGGAGGAGGAGGAGGAGGAGGGGGAGGAGGAGGAGGAGGAGGAGGAGGCACGAGGAGGAGGAGGAGGAGGAGGAGGAGGAGGAGGAGGAGGAGGAATAAGAAAAAGAAAGAAGGATGAGGAGAAGGAGGAGGAGGAGAGCTCATGACCTCTCGAGCCCTTGAGAGGTTGTGAGGAGCGCGCCGCCTTACCAGCCAGGGCAAAGCGCGCCCTGCTAGCTTGGGCAAGGCGCGCCGCCATGGAGCCCATTCGTTTTGGTGACCCCGCGATGGTTTCCTCCCACAGGTAAACTTGTCACGGCCAAGCAATGGGTTATTTAGACCAACAGAACAGACAGTCTCAGCACCATCTTTATCATCAGTATGCCACGCCGATGGGTTATTCAGATCAGCTCAGTGGACAGTTCCAGCAGCACTATCACGATGGGCAAGGCATATCTTGGCAGCACAGTGTTGCACTTGAGGGTGAATGGACATCGATCCAGAGTCTGTGCCTGTCTCGTCTGCAAGTCGTTGCGCTCTTACGGCGTGGCCGTGCAGCACCATCCACACCGCGCGCCTGGCTTGCGCGGGGCTTCGGCTCCGCCTCTCCACCTCCCTCCCGGCCCCTCCGTCGTGCATGTTTCCGTATTCCCCAATCTATGGGTATTCCACGCTGTCTGGCTGGTAGGCTGATTGCTCACCCACGCCCTGCATAGGGCCGGGCGTGGCATCGGTTGCGCCGCGCCGCCATTGAAAAGTTGCAGCGCTGTCGCAGGGCGGGAAACAAGTCGGTGTAACGTCGGCGCTTCGCCGAACGACAGTGACAAAGCATAAACGCTTAGATGGCCAGAGGGCGCACCCGCCTAGGCCACGGAGTTGGCCACCTGCTCAGCCACGGGGTTGGCCACGCTGCTAGCCACTAGACAAAGACAGCGATCGCGGCACACAAGGGCGCTGTTGTCTCCTCCCGACATGGGCGCCGGCTCTTGCTCTCCTGCCGTGCCGCGCGACGGACCGCGGCGGGGTCACTTAGAGGGGACCTTGGTACGGGGCCCTCGGCGGGGCCCGCGGCGGCCCGTGCTGCAGCCATCGCCCGCGGCTGCGTGGGTGGATGCGGCAGCCGCGCCTGCAGCCTCGCGCGCGGGGCCGCGGGCGAGGGCAGGACTGGGCCGGCCGCAGCCGCAGGCCGTCGCCCGTCGCGCTTGGCTGCGGGCATCGCCTCGGCGCCCTCCCCTCGGCGCTGGCTGCGCTGGCGTGGGCGGCCGCTCGCGGGCGCTGGCCGCGCCGCCCAGCTCCGCCGCAGGGCTGGCGTCGGCGTCGGGCGGGCGGCCGTCTTGCCTTGCCTGGCTGGGGGCGCTCGCCGCGACAACGGGCCCCTGGCCCGGAAGGTCGGTGCTCTCCTCCGCCGGGCAGGCTTGCCTGCCATGGGCCGGCATCGTCCTCCGCGCCGTCCGACGCGTCGGCCAGCTGAGGCGAGCTCCGAGCTCCTGAACACTGGCGGGAGCAGGGTGGGCACGAGGAGCGGCCGCGCCATGCGGCAGTAGGCCATGACGTTCTCGTGCCCCGCGCCAGGTTGGGTCCGCGCACCGTCCGCGCTGTTCTCCTGGTGGCCGCTCGCGCCCTGCAGGTCTCGCTCCAGGCGAGGTGGCGGATCGCCTCGCCCGTCTGCCGCTGCCGCGAACGTCGGGGCAACCGACGGTTTGCGCGTCTTTCCTCTCCAGCCCCCTGCGCCCTCCGTCCTCGGCCAGCCCCCTGCGCCATCCTGCCGACGCCACCCCAGCGATGCGCGCTGAGGGGCGCCTCAGCCAGGCAGCGCGGCCACGCCGCTTCGCGCAGGGGGGTCTACGTTTTTCCTGTTCCTCGTCCGTCGGCCGTCCCGTGGCCCCCTCCTCCCCTCGGCTGTCGCGGCTTTGCTCGTGCTGCCTCGCACTCCCCATCATTCTCTCTTCCTGGCGTCCCGTTCCCTCCTCCCCACCACGCCTCCCGCGCCTGGCTCTTTCCCGTCTCCTGCGTCGTCCTTCCTCCTTGTTTCTTTTTTTCCAGCTTCAAGTTACCCTCTACCAGGTTGTTCCTTCCAGCCTTTCGGAGCCTCGCTGGTAGACTCAGACAAGAAGCTCCTTTGGAGTTCAATTCCGTTGCGTTTCGTTTGTCCTTCTCTTCCTCACTGCCTACAGTCGGACCGAGGTTTAAGACCGAGGTCGGTCCCAGGAGGGTACCCTAATGTTCTTGGATGTTCTTGTGCATCCTGGGGGGAGGCCGTCCTCGATATTCTTCGGCTTGGCCGGCGGAGGGCCACATGTTCTTGAAGGATGCTCTTTTTTTCCGAGGTCCGACCGTAGCAACTGTTGATCTCTCCCTCATCGCTCGCCCCCCCTCGCCGCGTTCCCAGCCCACGCCGCTGCCGCCGTCGCAGCACTTGTCATGAGGGCAGCCTCCCCACTGGCACCGCGCTGGGGACGGCCCGCCTCCTCGGGGGAATTCCCCGCGCTCGATTCTCGGGATCTGTGTGTGTGTGTGTGTGTGTGTATGTGACGCGTGGCCGCGACTGCCACACATATATTCATCTTTGTGTCTATGTATGTAATATGCATTCACGTATGCATGTTCGATGAATGTATGCATGTATGTGTGTATGTATGTATGCATACAGGTATGAATCTATTTATGTCTGAGTATATAGGTATATGCCTGTATGCATACAAGTATGTGGTTATATACGTACGTATGTGCATGCATGCCTGTATGTATTCATTGCTATTAGTTTGCATGAAGTGTATGTATGTGATTATGCATGCTTGTATGTACGATTATATATATGTACGTATGCATGCATGCAGGTATATATGTCGACATATTTGTATGTATGTATGTAGGTGTGCGTGTAGGTATGTGCGTATGCATGTATACACGCATAAATGTATTCATGTATGTGTATGCATATGTAATTGTCTGTGCATGTCTCTATGTATGTGTTCATGTATGCACACATATGTATGCACATGTATGTATAAAACTCGTATATGTATATGTCTGTGTATAGGTATAGGTATGTACATGTATGCATTTACGCATGTGTATATACGTGCATGTGCGTTTGCATGCATGCATGTAATGCATGTATGCATGTATGTAAGTAATGCATGTATGCGTTCGTGCATGTGTGTATGTATGAATTTACGTATATGTGTACGTACGTTTGTATGTAAATAATGTATTTAAGTAAGTGCTGCATGTATGCATGAACGTACGCATGCAATCACGTATGTATGCAGGCATGTAGCTAGATAGGTATGTGTGTGTGTGTGTACGTATGTGTGTATGTTTGTATGGGTGTATGCATGGATGTTGTATTCATGTATGTATGACTGCGTGTCTGCATGTATGGGAGTAGTGTATCCTTGTAATCAATGTGTGGGTACATATGTATGTGTGTACGCATGCATGCATACATGCATGTATGTATGTATGTATGCAGGTAGTGACTGTGTATGTCTGCAGGTCTGTAAACATGCATGTATGTGCGAACGTTTGTCTGTCTGTATGTATGTGGGTATGCATGTATGCATGTATGTATGCACGCATGCAAGTGTATAATTAGTATTTTGTGTGTATGCATGTGTTCATGTATATATGAAGGTATGTGTGTACGCAAGTCTTATCTATATCTATATCTATGTATGTGTGTGTGCGTGTTCATGTATGTATGTAAGTAATGTGTGCGCATCTGGAAGCCATGTGCGTATGTAGTACAACTGTTTAAGTCGTGTAGTTTCATGTGGTGTAATTTCATGTAGTGCGACCCTGTGCAATGTAGTATAATGTGCTGGCCTGTATGTGTTTTGCACGTATACAGTTATGCATGTATGCATGAATGTATGTATGTATGCCGATATGTCCGTATGTATGTTATAAAGTATTGCATATATGCGTGGATGTATGTATGCATGCACGCATGCATGCATGTATATATATGCATGCATGCGGTTATGAATATACGCAGGTATGCATTCATGCGTGCATGTATGCATGCATGCATACATAATGTATGTATATATGTATGTATGTATGTATGTATGCATGCATGTATGTATGTATGTATGTATGTATGTATGTATGTATGTACGTATGTATGTGGGGTTGTGTGGGATGCCCAGCTCCTCCCGTGGGCTCCGTGGACTCGCCGCACGCCCGTGTCGCTCGCCCGCCGCTGCGCGGTCCGCCGCCGGTTCCACCTGCAACTCCCCTCCCTGGCCTGCTGACCATCGCGGTCGCTCCCCCCCCATTCCCTTTCCCCCTTCGCCCTCTCCTTTCCCCTCCCCTCCCTTTCCCCCTTCGCCCTCCCCCTTCGCCCTCCCTTTCCCCCTTCGCCCTTCCCCCGGTAGTTCCCCTTTCCCCTCCCCCCTTCGCCCCCCCCTCGCGACGGCACTCTCGCGAGCAGTGCCGCGCGGCCCCGGACGGGCGGCCTCGGCACCTCCCCGCTGCGCGAGCTGGGCCCGCTCGCGCGTTCCGCTCTCCTCTGGACTTCGACTCCGCTGCGCAGCCGCGCGCGTGGCCGCGACGCCCAAAAGTGTGTGTGTGTGTGTGTGTGTGTGTGTTTGTGCTGGAGTCTATGTGCATGTGTCTTTTTGCCGCTGTGTCTCTCCTGCATGGCTCCCTCGGGCTCTCCTCTCCATGCACCAGGGGGGGGGGAAGACGTCTCCTGGTCGAGAGCACCAGGGAAAACATGTCTCCTGCTCCAGTGAGCCCCGCACGTGCGCCATTCATGCTTGTCTGGATGCGTTCTCTCAGTGTGCAATTCAGTTTCCCCAGGTAGCCCCCGCTGCTGGGACCACTTCGCGAGGAGTGACATCCCCGACGAACGCGACTCCGGTTGACACGGTCTCGGCAGTCATGGTTACCGCCAATGCGTCGGCCGAGGCATCGATGGGTTCGGCGGCAGGCACGGTGGTCGGCGGGACAACCAGTGCGACTTCAGCCAGCGCGGCCAATGCGTCTACAGGCTGCTGGTGCGAGGAAGGGATGGGAGTTTTTCTCGTACTCTTCCTCTGATCTTCCTCATCGCCGCCTCATCCATTTTCTCGCTTGCTCGCTACTGGTGGCGATGGTTCACGCTGCCGCGGCAGGTAAGGCATTTTGGGATTACTTGTATCATCATCAGGCAGGCTGGAGGTTGCAAAGTGTAACAAAGAGGTATGACATGTGGGTCGGAGGCGGGGGTAGGGAGTGAGTAATGGAGGGAATGAGTGATGAGGGGAGGGTGGGAGCATGGGAGGCAGGGTTGTCAGACGAAAGGAGGGCGCAGGAGAAGGACGCGAAGGGGGATAGGGAGGGCCGCACATCGATCTTCAAGAAATCCTTGGTTATCTCTGGGTCAGATAGGAGGAGCCGGCATTGGCCCCCAATCGAAGCCAGACGCGCAGCCCCCTCATCTATCACAGACATCGCCTCGAGATCCTCCCAAGCACGTTTGGCCCAGGGGTTCGCTCGCACATCAAGTCTACCCGAGGGGGAAAAAGTGGGGGCAAAGGGGAGACAGCCAAAGAGAGCAGCAAGAACTTGTTTGTGGGAATTGGGGTGCCTCAGGAGCTCTTGGAGGTACCTAATGCGACGAATCCGAGCCTCAAGCTCGATCGGCACGATGCGCCAGTACTTTAATACTGCTTCATTACTGAGGGAGACAGGGTGGGATGATTCAGAAAAAACACAGGCTTTGCCCCTTCGTCGTTTGTCGGGCATATTGTGCTACTGCGGCAGTAAGTCTCGCATACTCGGCTGGTGAAGGCAAACACGCCTCGGGCCCAGACGGGGCCGTGCTATAGATTTTGCTGAGAAGCATACACCGGCGCACACGATAGGGCACACCAGAGAGAGAGAGAGAGACCAGCACTTGCCTATAGAGTGCCATCGTACGCGCATAGCCTCCACTCGCGCTCGGCATTCGGAGCTGAGTCGGGTCGGAATCGAATTAAGGCGAGCCCCAAGACTGACCACAACCTGAGACGCCTGTCCTGGAGGAGGAGGAGGAGGAGGAGCAGGAGAAGCAGGAGGAGCAGGAGGACAAGGAGAATGATGAGGAGAAGGGCGAGGAGGAGGAGGAGGAGGAGGAGGAGGAGAAGGAGGTGTAATAAGAAGAAGACGGATACTAATACCAACAACAATACTATTACTAGTAGCAGTACTAGTTATAATAACAACCATGTTTTTATTACTCATAAGCACAAGAACACTGAGAATAGTATCACTAATACGATTAAGAAATTAAGCACCGATAAACATAACATGCGTCGAATACTACTAACAACAATAACAATAACCTTCATACTATTAACCCTCATAAGCACTAATAAGAATAATGAGCGTATTAATATAGTCGCAATAATAACAAGAGGAGGAGGGGAAGAGGAGGAGGAGGAGCAGGATTAGGAGGAGGAGCAGGAGGAGCAGGATGAGGAGGAGGATAACAATGATGATGATGATGATGCTGATGATGATGCTGATGATGATGATGATAATGATGATTGATGATGGTGGTGGTGGTGGTGGTGATGATGATTATGATGATGCTGCTGCTGCTGATGATGATGATGATGAGGAGGATGAGGAGGAGGAATAAAAATAATAACAAAAAGATCAATGCGAAACATGATGATACTAATAGTAATAATGGTCGTAATAATAATATTAATAGTAACAATAATGCTAATACTAATGATAATAATGATGAGAATAATAATGATACTAATACTAATACTCATACTGATAATACTAATAATGACAATACTACTAATCATAACAATAATAGTATTAATGACACTAATAATAATACTAATAATAATACTATTAATAATACTACTGATACTAATAATAATAATCTTAATAATAATACTACTACTAATAATAATACTAATAATACTAATAATAATACTAATAATAGTAATATTAATAGTAATATTATTAATAATAATAGTAATATTATTATTATTAATAATAATATTAATGTTAATAATAATAATACTAATAATAATACGAATAATAATACTATTATTAATAATAATATTAATAATAATAATACTAATAATAATACTACTACTAATAATAATATTAATAATAATGATAAGAATAAGAATAATAATAATAATAATAATAAGAATAATAATAAGAAGAAGAATAATAATCAGAATAATAATGATAATAAGAATAAGTAATCATAAGAATAATAATAATAATACTAATGATAATATTAATAGGAGGAGGGGGAGGAGGGAGAGGAGGGAGGAGGAGGAGGAGGAGGAGGAGGAGGAGGAGGAGGAGGAGGAGGAGGAGGAGGAGGAGGAGGAGGAGGAGGAGGAGGAGGGGGAGGGAGGAGGAGGAGGAGGAGGAGGAGGAGGAGGAGGAGGAGGAGGAGGAGGAGGAGGAGGAGGAGGAGGAGGAGGAGGACGTCGAGGCGATGCTTCCAGAGCGGTGCGGGGGGAGCCGCGACCCCGCGTTCTGCGCGGCCGCCCCCCGCCCCTCTGGCAGGCGGCGCCCGGGCGCCGGAGGACTGCTCGAGGTACCCCGACTGCCCCGTCGACTGCACCAAGTGCCCGGCTGCCCGGCCCGAGCGCTGGCTCCCTCTCGCCCACCCCGCCCGCCTCGTGCGCCTTCTCCCCCGCGGGCCTCCAGTGTCTTGAAAGGGTCAGCCCTGAGATCCTGGCGTTCAATTTTTGACACCGTAGCCATTATGGCTCAAGCTCTTCTGCTTTCTCCCCAATTTTGAATCATACCTCTTTCATTTTGAGGGAGCGGCACGGCTCAATGGGACCAGGCCCAGTGGGCCCAGTGGCTGGCGAGCGTTGATTCTACGCCTCCGCAGCAAGAGGACGTGGATGCCGCTGCAGTTTTCTTTCACAACCTGGCGTTTCTGCAGACGTCGGCACAGCTCGAAGGCGTCGACCCTGTGAAGCTACTGGCAGCGCTTGGAGCCCCTGCCGCGGAGGCGATAGGATAGAAAACGTTGGTTCGCAGAGCGGTGCGCCGGGCAGAGCAGACCGCTAGGATTGAGGCGCGGTGGCCGTGAACACGGCGACGGCGACACAGAGTCCACCGCAACCGAACCCAGCAGTTTCGCAGTTCAGTATGGCTGATATGGCGCATGTGGGCGACAAAACGAGCGCTCTGGCGGTAGCTTGCGCGCTGTCAGCGGCGACGTCGCCCGCGGTGGACGTTAAGTAGCTGCTCGTGGACGCAGGCATGGAGGAGCTGCCGTGCCACATGCAAGTGCAGCAGAAACAGTGGCACCTCATGAATGCGTTCACGACCTTGGCGAAGGCAGACACGCCGCTGCTGCAGCCTTTCATGTGCGCAGACATCACGTCCGCTGACATTCTGCCTTTGTGGACCTCTGCCGAGTCCATTGGCGGGGCGGCCCCCCCGGCGTTGATCAGGCGTCATTTGCGGATGGTTCTTCGGAGGCGACAGTGTCCAAACTGGCGGCGGCGCTCAAATCAGCATCTGCCACGCCGCGAATATTCCGCACTACGGCGCAGTGGGCTGGCGCCTTCATGCGGTGCCCCATCCTGGCAGTCAGCACGCAGCAGCTCGATTGGGCGACGGGATGGTTTACTACGACCACATCCTCAAGTTGGCGCAGGAGGAGGCCATGCAGCACGGCTCCCCAGTGAGCGCTTTCGTGTGCGATGACTTGTTGCGGAGGAGCTGGGCGCAGCGACCCGAGCGACGTGACCCAGCACCGAAGCTCCTGCGGCTGGCCGGGCAGAAGGACGTTCATATTTGGAGCGCAGCCGTGACCAGGCTGCAGCCGTTTCTGAAGGCAATCGGCACGGGCACCTCGATTGGGTCAGCTTCGCCGCCCGCGGGCGCAGGCTGGCAGGCGGCCGAGGAGTGCGCCCTGGCTAGCGTCGGCTAGCGTCGACTCACAAGAGGCAACAGGATGGTATGGGAGGCTCCCATGAGTTGCCACAGAAAAAGTGTGGGCTGAAGGAATGTGCACCTTTTATGCCCTAAAGGGGCCCTGCAAGGGCTCCCCTGGGGCCCTAGAGGGTCACGGAAGGTGCACGTCTCTCCCCCCCATGTATCGCCCCCCATTGCGCAGCGCCCGAGTGCGTCCCACTGGACGACCGTCCTGGGCTGGGGGTGGGGGGCAGTGCGGGCGAGTGCGGCGGTCGCAACACGTCGTGGTGTTGCATTTTTCGTGATACAGCGTGTCGCACCGCATCATTCCGCACTGCATCTCGTCGTAACGCAGCGGATCGTGTTGCAGTCCACATGGAGCTCGCTTGCTACTACGTTCCGCCGAAAAAGAGGCTTGATCACTCGATCAGTGTGCTCTCAGGCGTGTGCTGTCACTGCCGCCGTCAACAGCGCCGACGCCGTTGCCGTGGCGAGGATGTGGTCCAGTCCGTGAGCTCGATGTTGGCGCCGCCATGGGCTGCGTAGCCCAGCCTGCGCGTTGCGAGTCGAGCCGGCCTGGGCCTGGACCCGAGGGAGGAGGAGGTGGAGGAGGAGGTGGAGGAGGAGGAGGGAGAGGAGGAGCAGGAGGAGGAGGAGGATCAGGAGGAGGAGGAGTTGCTTGCCACTAAGCAGTATAAGAACGCGTACCCAGGGCGCCCCATTCTTTGGGTTCTGAACCGCGTCAAGGAGCTTAGGACCCTCATCAGGAAAAGGGCTCTTGGGAAGTATTTCTGGGATCTTCTCGGACAGTGGGATGGTCTCCCTGAGCGTGGTGGCCCTTTCCGTCGACATTGGCGGGCAGGAGGTGGTTTCTGGCATCAGTTCTGCTCCTCTATTTCTAGGACGCTTCGAAGCACCACGTTGGGAGAAGACGCCGTGGGGATTCTGGACAAGGCTCTTGAGTTTGTTGCTGTTTGGGCTTATCTGGGAT